GACCACTTTCCCATTGTTGATATTATTCAAGACTAACATGGCATGTTTAGAGTCTACACTTTGAAGGGAGAAATCATTCAGTCCATCATCTGTGAAGCCATCAAAAGATCAGGTCAGAATTTTGATACAACAGGAAAAAAGGGAAAGACTTGTGACTTACTGGTAGTTCAATGTCATGCAAAGGCCTCAATTTCATCATAACCTTTGACATTCCAACCAAACTGCTATTCTGTTAAAAAAAAAAGCCCCATATTTTCATCAACATTTCTCCTATCTTCCTCTAGAGTCTCAGAATGTTAGAAATGGAAGAAATTTTGGAGGCAATCTAATCTAACCACCTCAATTTACAGGTGAGGAAACTGAGGCCAAGACAGAGTAAAACACTTGTGCCAGGTCACACAATGAGTTTCCATTTCAATCACATAAGGGCTAATCAGACCTTCAGAACTCTGTAAAAAGGAAGTGAGGAGATCAGAGGGTCTGATTTAGGTTTTGCGCAGTGCAGTCGTGATGGAATTAAGACAGATTGGTTGAGGGACATTTTAGAAGATGTCCGCCTACTATCCTAAAAGGAATTGTTCTCTAGTTTCTGACCATTAGCCAGGTCTTTGTTAATTAATGGGTCCATTAATTCCTTTTAGAATAATACTGAAAGATATTGAGATTCGCTTTTGTACTTACATTGCACACACATTTGACCATCATCTCCTATGAAAGGAATCAAAGAAAATTGAAAGCATTTGCCATTTTTCCTGGAAATAAAGATTAGGATTATAATAATATCTCATATTTGCATGCAAAATTTACTAGGAAACAACTTTTTGCATTGAATTTATTTTTGTCCACAAAATATGCATACATCTATATGTGTGTGTATCTTTTTTCATTTCTTACAATAATATTATAAACAATGCTAACTATAAGGTGACTTCTAACTTCTTAGAAATGATCAAACTGAGTTGTCCATTTTTAAAATTTTTGAATATTTTTTATTAAATTTGAATTCTTTGAAAATCTGCAATCTCTGGTGTGGTGGATAGGATGATATTCAATTACCCAGAAAACTCTCTTTCTTTAGTAGTTCTATATAAAAATTCTTTAGGATAATCACTGCACTTTCTTTAAGTCAACTGAAGTTGAATTCAAAAGATCTGTGTTTAAATCCTGGCTCTTTCTCTTACTAACTGTGCAACCCTCAGTAAGCGTTTCTGTTCACCTTTCTGAGTGTCAGAGTTCTCACCTGCAAAATAGGCATAATAATGTTCTTCCTTATCTCAGGTTCATTGTGGAGAAAAACTAGAACTTCTTTAACCTGAAAGAATTAAATAAATATGTATTTTTATTGTATTTAAACTCAAAAAAATCTCAGAAGAGCAACATTGTCTCTAATTCTATTGTCTCTAACTTACATCTAATTGATATAAGTGCAATAATCTAAACTATTTGATACTCACTTAAAAAATTGGAAAGTAAACAAAGAAAAAATACAGAAAAAGGAAGAATCAGAGTTTGGTAATGAGAAAATCAACTACCTAGGAAAGAACTTCGTATTTGGCAAGAATTTCTGGGAAAACAGGAAAATGGTCTGGCAGAAAATAGGTTTAACACAATATATTATGCTGTAGGTTTGCACTGTAACTCAAAGGAATGTATGGTTGAACATTGATAGTCATACAAAATTAGAATTAAATCACTTCAATCACCTTTCATAAATATACCTAGGAGGACATTTTCTATATATATAATAGAAAAGCTTTGGCTTGAACAAAATGAATCAACCAGAACAAGAAAGGAAGGAGTTAGCTGGGAAGAAAAAAAAAAACCTTTGCACCAAATACATCTAAATATAAGATGAAGATATATAGGTAACTAATAGAAATATGTAACACCCAAAGTCTTTTCCCAATAGATAAATAGTTGAAGGATACAATTAATAATAATGATAGCTAACATTTATAGATTTTTTTTTTTCTGTGCCAGGTACAATGCACTTTACAAATACTACTTCGTTTGATTGCGACAACAACCTTGGAAAGTAGGTGTAATTTTATTCCTATTTTACAGATAAGGAAACTGAGGCAAACAGGGGTGAACTAACTTGACAAGGATCACACAGCTAGTAAGTATGTAAGGCCAGGTTTGAATTCAGGTCTTCCTTATTCTAGGACCAATGTTCAATCCACTGAGTCACCTAAAAGTCTCAAGTGTAAATATAAAAAAAAAATTGTCAGAAAATTAAAAACTAATAAGAATCAAAGGAAAGAATGCTCCAAATCACTAATGATAAGAAAAGTACAAATCGAAACAGCTCTGAAGATTTACCACATAGGCAGCAAATTGATAAAAATGACCAAAAATAGGAAGAGACAATGTTAGAATGATCGTGCAAAGATAGAGCAAATGCATTATTCTCAGAGTTGCAAATTGGTTCAATTGCTTTGAAAAACTGTTGAAGTTATGTTAAGAAAATGGCTAAAATGTCCATACCTTTGACCAAGGCTAAGTATAAATCTCAAGGAGGTCAATGAATATAAGAAAGGCCTTTTATAAAAGAAAATAGTGATAACACTTTTTGTAGTAGGAAAGAATTGTAAGCAAAGTAGATGTCTATTAATTGGGGAAAGGCTAAATGAACTAAAGCAAATGTTTGAGTGATGTATCTTTTTTCCCTCTCTCTCACTCTTTTTCCTGTCTTCTTAGCAGAGGGTTTTTAAATATCCCATCTCTACCTCAAAGTGAAGACTGGTGACTCAGGGAAGTTTGGAACTGAAAGAAAATTCAAGTTTCCCCAGGTGGTGATAAAAAAGATCTAAACTTCATATAAAAATACTTGAATTAAGTACTTGCCCCCAACCCTTGCACACAAGCTTCAAGTATGTGTGTGGCCTTTTAATTCCTTTTGCCTTCAATGGTTGCCATTAATGTTCATAAAACTAATCATATTCTGAGAACTTCATCACTAACTGATTCCTCTGAGGGTCAGCCTATGTAGAATAAGGGATCACAGAACTGTAGCCCAGATTTTTGTCCCCTCTTCCATATCTACGAGGTAACACAGGTAGCACTTAACCTTTTGAAGTACACTGCAGTTAGAATACCATCATGTCCACTGATACTTTTGACAAACTTTCTCAAGCTACCTCCTTCCTCAATCTTAGATGTCACATTTGAGCACATTGCAACAGCAAACCACTCTCCAATCATCTGTAGAAAGGAATTTGGATGAGGATGGAAAAAATTGTCCCTGGTCACATAGACCCATAGTATTTAAGAACTGGGAAGTACCACAGTCCAAAGCATTCATTTTACAAATGAGAAAACTTGCACCCTAAAAAGTGAAATAGGGGCAGCTAGGTGGTTCAGTGGTTAGAGCTCCAGCCTTGGAGTCAGGAGGACCTGAGCTCAAATCCAGCCTCAGACACTTGACACTTACTAGCTGTGTGACCCTGGGTAAGTCACTTAACCCCAACTGCCTCACCAAAAAAAAAAAAAGGTGAAGTATATCATTGCCCAATCTTACCTGGTTCACTCATTATCTTCATAGTATAATGTAAGGATCATGAAAGTAGGAGGCAGGAAATTTGAGTTCAGGTTTTGGTTCTGATAATAATTCACTCTGTGACTTTTGGCAAGTTATTAACCTTTAAGTATCCTGGTTTGCTTCTCTGTCCAATGGGACTAACTTCATCTGTACTATGTATTTGATGGTATTAACCAAGAGAGAATATTATTTTCACCTCCTCTTACTACATATCTTGGACTGAGATGTTACTAATAATTTCTGAGGTTATTTTGGGAGTACAGTGAGAGATTGCCTCAGGAATAGAGATTTCTACTGGAGTCTTACAGAAATTCACCTTCATTGCTTATGAAAAACTTGTGCCCATTCTTTCCTTCTTCTCTCCCTAGGTCTGGGATAACTTCTCATGAGAGAATTCATGGCCATCCAATCCTAGAATATGTGCAGAACCAAAGTCCTCAGGTTACCATCTGAATCTTTTTGGCAAAATTGGTTCAAAGGACAGGTCACAGAAAATGAACTTGAGATTTATCATCTCATTTACTATTGTAATGAGAAGTAGAGAAGTTAGGTTTCAATTGCAACTTGGGGGAATAAGCTTCTTTTTTCAAAGAATAGCACCTCAGGATTTCAACATCTAAGAGCTAGAGAGTTCTTCTGGATTATCCAGTCCAAACATTTATTTGAGAGATGCAGAAACCATTCTACGGCATTATATTGTGATGAATGAGAGTTTGGGGTATTTTTCATTCCAGTTATTTAAAAGAAATAGGAGATGGGCATATACTCATGTTTAATTTTATATTTTCTCCTGACTTTGATCATTGAAAGATAACCCAACCAATGGGAAGAACAGTTTTGAGTGAGAAGTCAGAAAAGCACATTTTTCATTTTAGCTGTAAGGCCTATCTTTGCTCTCTTCTGCTCAGAGATGTTCTGTTTTTCTTACCCATTATCCTTGAACTTTTGTCAGACCACTCTATCCTTACTTTCCCATTCTTGCTCACTTACTTTTGACACATCTCCCAAGTTGTTATTGATTATTGAGGATCTGGAGGCCACAGACTGAAGCCAGCCCCATGGTCATGAGAAGGTTCTTCATATTCTCAGGATTTTTCTCTGATGCTTCAACAGCAGCTTAATGTGTCAGAACGATTCGGATGAATACTCTAGGCTCTCTGGTTGGGTGCCTTTTTACCTCATTCTGGGGCAGGGTTTCTGATGATGTGGCACTAAAAGAACCCTAGTTCCTCAAAGTATACTTTATTCAGAGTCACTAGCCAATGATTAACTACTAGCCAAAGATCCAAGGACATATTAGTAATGTGCTTTTTTGACAATAGAATTTTGAGAATTCTGAAATGCAAATTTCCAAAATCAATAGCCAGATTGGGCCAACTTCCTGGGATCAACTGTCTTTCCTGAGACTAGAGAATACAGTTCCTATGTTCTCTATACTTGTGGCCCTCAGGCAATAAATACTTATAACCTAATGTTCATGGAGTCTTGCTTTAGGCAATGTGGGGAGAGTGCCCAAACAAAGAAATAACTCTCATCATTATCTGGGAGTGGATTTTTTCTATCCAGCTATGGAAATTCAGTAAACTTCTATAATGTGTCTTTTTTTGTGCAGAACACCACTTTAGGAACTGTCCTAACCAATATGTTAGGATTTGATCTCCTCTGTGGAGCTTACAGTCCAGTACATAATAAGGCATCCCAAGGACATTCTTCTTTTGGTCTTTACTTTTGAATTGAAGTGTATAGGGAACTTCCAGAAGCAAAACTCCTTCTACCAGTATAACGGTAACTCCTTGACAATTTATCATTTGAAAGAGTTTTCTGGAGGATACTAAGAAGTAAAAAGACTTCTCTGAGGTCAATTTGCTAATATATAGCAGAAGTCCTAATCTGGTAACTTAATTTCAATTTCCACTATGATAAAATCTTACTCAATTTAACAGACATTTATTAGCTATCTGTTATGGTCAAGGCACTATGATAGATGAGAGGGATACAAATATATCAAGAAAACAATCCCTGCTCCCAAGGACCTTTCATTTGATTGGAGGAAGTTTACAACATGTGTATAAGAAAATAAATAAATAGTACATATACAAACTTATATGGAATAATTTCTATCCAGTGAGAGGGTGACTCTAATTTTTAGTAGAGGGATCATACTTCATGTAGTACATGCTTCATGTAGGGTTTAAAGGATCCACAAAGAGGAGTTGAGGAAGGGGAGATACAATATTTTCAAAGACATTGTACCAAAAAAAAACAACAAACAAACAACTGAGTTTCCCATTGGGATGAGTGTAAAAACCTGAGTGACAGAATTTCTGGATAGTTAACAATCAATTGATTAATTAAGTGAGCCAGCAATCAATAAATTGATGTTCAGTCATTTCTCTTGGTAACCAAAGATGCCCAAAGAAGACTCTGAAAGGCTTCGAATAACTTCTGAAAGGGAATTCCTCTGACAAGTGAAAATCATCCTTGACTGGTAGACACTTAATGAGGAGGTAGGCTAAAAGTCTTTAGCTCCTCCTACTGAGAACATGATTTGACCATGAAAATCAGCAGGCTCTAGCAATCTGAGCAAGAGAATCCATTTCTGTCTTGACCCCTCTGGTTGGTTTTCTCTTTCATGAGCTTGTTCACCTTAAACTCTAATGGAAGGGAACAATGACAACAGTTCTTTCCCCCTGGGTAAGGGCTTATCAAGACTGTATTCTGTTTATACTCTCAACAGAAATTAAGTCTCCTCCTTGAGTGGGGCCCTGCCCAAATTTGAGAAGCATGTTCCTTGAGGACTAGGAATAATCTCATCCATTAACCATGTCCTTCAGAGACTGACTGATCTTAATAAGACATGGACCTTTCTAGAAAGTAGAAGGAGAAAAGCCTGGATCGCAGTTTAATAATTCCTTATTAATATAATAGTATGATATAATTTTATCTCATTCCCCTTTTTGATTCATTTGAGAGACAATGTCCTCAATGAATCCTAACCTCTATGATAAACACTTCATTAAGGGCTTTTAACTATCAGTCTTAATGATGGGAAATAATGTGAGGGGAAGAAGAAGAGTAACTGATCGACACATGGAAAGAACCATTGGGGGCAGTCCCTTTTGGCAAGCATGCCTTACAGAACATAATGGCATAATTTCTTTCTCACTAACCCATTCCA